TGTTAATTAATGCTGAGGAAATTGAAATTAATCCCCACAATAAAAGATATGGTAAATAAAAAATCTAGTAAAATTTAGTATTATGATTCAGGCACAAAAATGATTGGATGAAAATTATCCTAAGGATGGTGTTTGTGTAAGGGAAAACGAAAGTCAACAGATAAATAATAAAGGCAAAACCAGAGTAGAAATAACCAAATTAATTATTGACGGACAAAAATTAGAAGGAGAACTTGACCTTTCAGATTTTACTAATTTAAAAGAAATTGAATGCATTAAGAATAACATAAATTGTTTAGATATTAGTTAATTGCCAAGAATTGGAAAAAATAGTTTGCTATGAAACACTTTTGAACAGCACTGATTTTCTACTTAATTTATCATCTCCTGAAAAGGTGAAGTGTTTAGACTTGGGAGATAACAATTTTGAAAGCCAAGATTTAAGTTTTTTAAAGGTTTTTATCAACTTAGAAGAATTAAAATTATGAAATATCATAAAAGCAAGAGTAGAAAAGGGATTCTATAATCGTTTCTATGGTAGCTTAAAGCCATTAGAGAACATGGAAAATTTGAAAGTGATTACTATCCAAAACACGGATATTGATTGTGGTCTGGAATGGCTGCCGATAGGAGTAGAAAAGATTTTGTTTGTTGAAAATAATCAGCGATTTCATAATTTTTCCAATTTTCGTCATAAAAAAAATCGAGGAAGAATTAAGTGAATACTCAAAATACAGTTGGGGCATTCCTATAGCACGAAAAGATTGGAATTATTATGATTATAATGCTTGAAGAAAAAATTATCAAAAAATTTTTCTTAATGAAAGGCTAAAACAATTAGAAGAAAATGAAAAACTTCCTAAAGAAATAGAGAATATAGAAAAATACATAACTGAAATTAAAAAGAATATTAAACTTTTAGAAACTAATTCTCAGCAAGTAGTGAACACTTACATTACTGTGGGCGATATTAATGTTGGTAATACTATTGGTGGAAAAGCCAATATTACTAACCAATATGCTACTAAAATTGAAGAATTGGAAACTAGAATAGAAATAGTTCCTAAATAAAATTAGCAAAAAAGATAACAGCTAACATTGTTAACAGTTAACTATACAATAATAAACATGACACTCATATACAATTTTGCACCAGCCATACTTATATTTTAGTTTTCACTTTTTCTTCTAACAATTAAGATAACAGTTAACCAGGTTAGCAGTTAACATCTTTCTAATACTTTTTTAATTAGTTTCTTTACTTGCTCTTGTAATCTTTTATATTTCACCTCCCCAATACTTAATCCTTGGTTCTGGGCTTCTTGGTAAGAAACTTTTTCCTCTAATGCCAGTGGGAAACTATAATAACCAGCAGGAGACAAATAATCACGAGTGGCTTTTTCCATAGCGGGAGAACCAACCGCATTTATTAAAAAAGTTAGTTTATTTTTAGAAATTCCTGCCTTAAATAGTCCGTTGAACTCTCTGATAGCAGGGTTTAGGTCATCAAGACTAGGGCGGACAGGTTGAATGACTAAATTAGCCTGTTTGGCAATTTCCAAACTCTCTTTACTTATTTTGGCCGGTCCATCAATTATTAAGTAATCATAATTTTGCTTTAATAATTCAGGAGGGAAATAAGGAAAAGACTGATAATTAATTAAAGGTTTTATTCCTTGGCTTTTTCTCCTTTCCGCTCACTCTTGGCTGGTTTTTTGTTGGATATCTAGGTCTATTAGTAAAATATTGAATTTTTGTTTAGTAAGTTCCACCGATAAAGCACGAGCAAGAGTAGATTTACCTCCGCCACCTTTTTGCGATAAACAAGCGATAATTTTCGGTGTTTTTACACTATCTCTCTTTTCTTTAAGTATTCCCATAAATCAAATATCGCTAATAGTTTTTCCTGAATAGCATCTATTTCTTTTTCAGTTAACTGTCCCAATTTTTTTATCAGTCTTTTTTTATCCACTGTTTTCACTTGGTCGATTAAGGCTTTGCCATTCTTACTATCAACAAAAGTGCGAACCTCATAACGATAAATTTCTCCTAACTTTTTACTGGTTAAAGGAATAATCACAAAACGCTTATTTCATTCATTTAGTTTATCCGTTGAGATAATTACTCCCAATCGCTTTTCCTTTTTAATTTCGGTGCCAAATGCTTCATGTTTTCAGATTCAATAGCGGTAAACTTCGCCTTTTTTTACTTCGCCAATTATCGGTTTCACTTTAACTTTTTTAATCGAGGTCATTTTCTAGTAGAGACTTTTCGGCTTCCAATTCTTTATCTTTTAAGGCTTTGCCGTAATCCGCAAAAATATTTTCTTTACTTTTCATTTCGATATATTCTCTTAACTTGTCTTTTTTAGTTGGTTTTTTTTCAGTTAAAAGTTGGTTATAAATAATTTGGTGTTCGATATGGTTTTTAGCCAAAAAATTTTTTAATTTATTCGCGTTAGCAGTTTTAATTATTAGTAATTCAGTCATAATATTATATTTTAGTTTCTTTTCATAACCAAGATAACAGTTAACCAGGTTAGCAGTTAACATAGATAACAGTAAAATATAATATATGAATAAGAAAAAAAACTGGGGTGTGGCTCCCATCAATGAAGCCAGTGAAAATACTCAATCACTAAACATTGATAAAAGGAGTTTAAGGAAAACAGGGAGAACTCATTTATTCGCTACTCGGGTAAAAAAAGAATGAATAGAGCAGTTAAAATCTATTGCTTATGAGGAAAGGAAGCATTATAATGAGGTGTTGGAAAAAGCGTTAGAGTGTTATGAAAAGCATAGGAAAAATTAATAAATATACAAAAAAAACATGCTAACAACTGCTAATCATCTAAGTTACCAACAAAAAATCAATAATGGTAGTTTCTATACCCCTCCGGAATTGGTTAACTATGTTTGGGAATTAGTCAATCCTTTGCGGACACGACCAAAAACACTGTTATCCTTGATACTAGTGCTGGAAAAGGGAGTTTTTTTTTAAATGGGGGAAGTAATGACTTACTGCTTATTGCTGCTGATAACGACCAATTAGCCATTGATTACTTAAAGGAAAATTTTCCTCACCTGCTAGTTATTCAAAAAAATTCTTTAATTAATATCAAAAGAGCCGAATATGGTATTAAAGACAATCAAAAGTTGATAATCATTGGTAATCCTCCCTACAATGATACAACTTCTTTAAAAGCCGAAAAAATCAAAGAAAACGCTCAAAATATTTTACCCATTGACCCACAAATAAAATCACGAGATTTAGGAATTAGCTTTTTACGCAGTTATTACCAATTAAAGGCCGATTATGTTTGTGTTCTCCATCCATTAAGTTATTTAGTTAAAGAAACTAATTTCAACAGTTTAAAAGAATTTAAAGATAATTACTGCTTATTAAAGTCTTTGGTAATTGATAGCAAAAAATTTAGTGATGCCAAAGGGGCTTCTTTTCCTGTTTCTATTTCCTTATATCAGCTAGATAAAAACGGAATGGATTATGAATATATTAGAAATTTCCCTTTTCAATTAGAGAATGGCAAACAATTTTCGCTCAATTCTTTTCAATTTTTAACTAATTTAGTTGACAAATATCCCAAAAAAACTCTTTCGGATGAATATTTAGATAACTTATTCTTTTTTACTTTTCGGGATATCAATTCAATTATGCGAAATAGGACTTTTATTCAAGAATTCAATAATTACAGTGTTCCCATCAAAAAAGACCAATTAAAATATTACGCTTATATTGATTACTTCAAAGAAGAATTTAAAGGAATTATACCTTTTCATTTAAGAAATTTCGATATTTTTTATAGCCCTGATTTTCAAGAAGAGGATTGACAATATTTTACGCAAAGAATTTCCTCTAAATTGGAGAATAAAGAACCAGAAAAATTAACCAAAACTAAAAAAATCCAAGAATTTGAAGCATAAGTAGCCAATTTATAAAAATAATTCTGACTTTAACTAGTCATAGTAGCAAAATAAGGGTCAAAAAAAGAAAAGATATTTTTTATCAGGGAATACCATTAGCTACCCGCCAAGAAAAAATTACCAGTGATTGCTATTTTGAATGACAAATATCTTATGATTTAAAGGAAACTAATCCTAATTTTGACAAGTTTCATAAATTAACCCTCAACAAAATAAAGATAGTTGATGAAAAAGATAATCCAACCGGCCGGTATATTTATGAATTATCTGATTTATTAGTGGAAATTCTGAGAAAAGGTTTTGTTAACTTAAATTACCTGAGAAAACTACTCCAAGAAGTTCAAGACGAAAAGAAATTTATTGAGGATGAATTAGAAGTTTACCGAACTCATCCCAAAGAGTATAAATTTAACGGATATACTTTTTGGAAAAGCACCATCGGACATCCGCTCCTAATTTATGAAGTAAGTGGTTTGATATTGAAAATAGAGATAATTATTAAAGAAAAACAAAAAGCGATTGGTATTCAGCCCATGCTCTATTTATGTATCCCTATTAAATTGGTGGAGGAATACCCCGAAATAGAGAACCAATTAGCCGAAACTAAACAGACTGCAACTTATTTAATCACTAAAAATAATTTTCAATTTGTTATCGAAACTATAAAAATCTTTTCTATTTTGGAGAAAGCACCAAAAAGACATTGTTAATATTCTGCGGACAATTTTAAATTATGGTTCGAAAGAAATTTAAGATAACCAATTTTTAAATTCTGCTAGCAAAATCATTCAATGATTAGGAAAAATATAGAATCTATATCATATAGAGTCTATATTTCTACTTTACTATTTACCTGATTTTCAAGACGGCAACTGCTCTATTTGGGCTTTAATTTCTTGCTCTTGCTCTATTTGCTGGCAATGCTTAATTTTTTTAGTAATAGTTTTTAATTGTTGTTGGTAATTATCGGCTCGTTGTTTTTCTTGTTTAACAATTATTTCGGCTTTTACTTTATCATTGAACGCTTTTTGGTAAGCATTTATTAGGTTAGTGTGGTTTGGTTTGTCAGACTGAATTTTGTGCGTTAAATTAGTGATGGTTTCCTTTGATAATTGATTGTTTTGCTTTTCTGATTGAACTAATGATTTTAAATTGTTGTTTTCAGTTTGGATTTGTTTTAATCGCTCCTCTAAATTTCTTATTTTAACTAGTAGAATATTTTCTTTCTGGTTTTGCGGCTCTTTTTTGCTTTTAATAATTCTTGGTGTTTGGGATGGAATTTCGCTGATTAATGGTTGAGATTGATAATTAGTTATGGGTTTTTCTTTTATTTCAGTGAGTAATGGCGGATTATCTTGCTGAATAATTTTCTTTTTTGGAATTATTGACCTTTGGTCTATAAAAAGAGATTCGGAGTTCTTTGGTATTTCCGGAAAGGTGTCAACCTTCGGCGAAGCAAAATTTTCCGCGATTGGTGTGGGTGGTCTTTTTCCTTTATTCTCTAACCATTTCTTACCGGCCAAGATATCGGCAGTGTCATTATTGCCATCACCATAAATATTCCGCCAATATAAAGCGGTGGTTCTAATACTACTATGACCCAATAGTTTTTGTAATAGTGGCAACGGAATTCCATTCTCGGCATGATAAGTAGTGAAAGTTCGGCGGAGAGTATGCGGAGTTAGTTCTATTTCCTTGCTAATATTCAGTTCCGCTTAATTTTCCGTAAAAAGTGATAAAAATTTCAGCGGTTAGTTTGATTGGGTTGCCAATTGTTTTTCTTTAATTCCTTGATGACGCTCTTGGGAATATAAACCAATCGCTCCTTTTTGCCTTTGGTTTTAGTTATGTGATATAAGCCCTGTTTGGTTTTATTGGCTAAATCAAAACTTACTGCTTCACTAACTCTTAAACCACTTTTATATCCCAGTAAGAATAAGCCGTAATGAACTTCCCGTTTACTTTCTTTTTGTCGGTTAGAAATTGACATAATTTTCCTACCAACTTTTTCGAGCAGTGGTAAAATTGGAAGCATATAACTATTATTTTAGTCTAATAATAAGAGGATGTTCCTTCTAAAACCATCCAAAAAATTAAACTTTAAAAACTTACTTCTGAATAAAGTTTAGCCAACTTTTAATTAGCCTTTATCAACTTTATTCATTGATTATTCACGAGATAACATTATGGTCTTTTGGTTAAAAATAAGTTGATATTTTCTTTCCTCTTCTCTCTCAACCAACCCCCTCGGGGTCGTAAACTCCCCGCTCCCCCTTTATATTCTTACCATTCTAATCTTTAATATGCCCGCGAGAGAGGCAAAAAAAGGTTGTTTGGTTATTTTTTTACTTATTTCGTAAGTAAAGGGCAAAAATAGGGCAAAAAAAACGAGAAACTTCACCCCTCGCCTCCTTTCGAAACTAAAATAATTATATAGGTTATGCTCTCCTATATTTTTAGTTCTCATTTTCAGAGGTCAGCAGGTTAGGGTTTGGTCGTATCACTATGTTTTACCAAACTTATTGCGGAAATTCGCAGTAAGGATAATTACTGGTAAGTTGAGTGTGGTATGAACTCGTTAAAGTGTTCCGCAGCCCTGACTTATTGCCTCTAACAGAAATTCCTGTTAAATTGTGCCGTTAGTGTTTAACCTTACTTGGTGGGGTCGAACCTTAACGGGGCAACCTAGCCTCTGTATTTTGCTCGCAACCAGTTTCAATTTAGTTCTTGGACTGGTTGTGGGAATAATGAGTTAATTTCCCAAAAAAAGAGTTAAGAATTATTTCTTAATTCCTTTGTTTGAAAATTAGTCTCTAGCATTAAAATAAAAAATGCCTCCTTTTTTTGAAATATAGAAGCTATAACATATAGAGGCTATAAAGTAATAAGAGGGTAAAAGAGCGAAAAAATTCTTCTTTCTGTTCTTTACAAGTGAAAAAAAATGTCAGTAAATCCCTCTTGTCTTTAAATTAGGTTTGATTTTTTTAGTTTTTCGTCCAGAAACAGTATAAAAATTATTAGTTCCTTGGAAAATTTGTGGAATTTCCATAGTTGTTTACTTTTCCCAACCAACCAGTTCGGAACTAGGAAATTCCACTAACTCTAAACCGACTGGTTAGTCAGGAGAAATAAACAACTCTTGTATTATATATTTTTTTTATTAATTACTTACTCAATAACCTAGTCAGCCAAAGTCGCGATTAAATAATTAAATGACGATTGTTCTAGGTAATTCAGTGTCTATATACTAATTATTTTAGTTAAGTTTACTCTTTATGAATTGTAATTCTGTTTTTATTCCTTTCAGATTTCCACTAATTTCATTAAGAACACTAATTAACTCTTTTAATTGTTGCTCGTCTAAACTTACTGTTGACATATAATATTTTTAAGGGAAGTGATGAATTTCCCTAATTTTTAGATAACAATTTTTTCTCACTTTTTTACCGTTTCGCCTTCTTTGCTTCAAACTGATAAGCTTTCAGAAGAACCATCAGAATGTTTTTTTTCGATTTTAATTCCAATGTTATATTCTTTTGCTTTACCAGCCAAGTAGTCAATAGTACTTGGTGAGATAATTTTATTTTCCAGTTTATTAGGACTTAATAACTGTTTATTTTTTTCGTTTTCTTTCATATTTTAGTTATTATTTACTTTTGTTTTAATAATTTGCACACTTTTTCAACTTTCCTATAAAACTACTCAACGTTTCTAGTTTGTGCAATTATTAATTTATTTTAGCAAAGTTTTATCCATTTCTTACTAAAACTACCATATATGATAAAGTCGGATGATAACTTTTTGACTTATAACCGCCAAGGAACCTTCCTAACTGAGCAAGGTTATTTGGTTGGTTTAAAAATGAAACTTTGGCAATTCCCAAATGTTAAGGCAATAGACTTCCCCGAAGGATATAAATTGAGTTGAATTGTTCTTAACTTATTCAACAAAAAAGAACGGGTTTTATTTGATAACCACAACCAGAAGCCGCCGCATTATCATATTGACAGCGAACAAGAATTTTTTCAGTGAAAGTCTTTGGCTGAAACGGAAAAAATGTTTTGACAAATGGTTTATCAGAAATTTGGCTATTTTAATTATGAATAATAAAATTATGAAAGGCAAAGCCTTACCGGAGGTTAAACAAAAGACATTTATTTTTAAATATGACCCGCATTTCTCTCCCAAGCAAATGTTTAGCGAATTTAAGGAGGCTATTCACGGCAAAAAGTATATTCAACCGGAAAATGTTATGATGGCCAATGATTTAGCGGTCATTCACCGCATAATTAGTAAAGCTCGCTTAAAGGTTTTTGCTTCTATCAAAGAGCATCAACCGACCAATATTCACCAATTAGCCCAAATACTTCACCGCGATTATACTAATGTTTGACGAGATTGCCAGGTATTAGCCAATTGTGGAATTATTGAGTTAAAAGAACAAGGCAAAGAAACTCAACCTATCGTTCTTTACGAGCAAATTGTTTTAGATTTTCCAGTGAATAAGGAGGTTTTGGCAAGAAAGAAAGAGGCTGGTTTGCTGGTTCAGACTTAATTTTGCATTATTACTTCCCCGCTACCCCAATTAATCCTTAGATTAATTTCTCTACTTTAAATTTCAGTAATATACCAGCCAAATTTTATAAGGAAGTGGTCGCTCCTAGCTGCTACTTTTCTTTTTTCTTTAATTTAGTATCTAGCACAGATTTATTAATTTTTGGTGAAAGTTTTTCCCTACTGGTATACTGCGAAAAGTCGGTCGTAATATTGATTTGCTTGTTCCAAAGAAAATTCCAAAAACTTACTAAACGAAACCAAAATCTATAAAACTTTACTACACTATCATTTACTAAATAAAAATATAAAATAATAAATAAATATGACTAAAAATATCGTAAATCAAAATACAAACGAAAAAAAATGCCGAAAAATAGACCAAATTAAAATAAACTGAGTTAATGAAACAAAAGCGGTAGTAATAGCAAGAAACAGAGAGAGAATTTACTCACCTAACCAGTATTCACACGAAGTCAAATATCCCCCGTATTACTCGCACAAAAGTAGTTATCAGGAGGAAAATACACCAGACGGACTTTTTAAATTAGATTTACAGTTTTTTGCTGATGATTTACAAACTATCGAGAAAAAAGTTGCTGAGTTATACGATTTTTTCGACCCTAGTAAAGAAACTCTCATCCCTGTCAATGATATTCCTAGTTTTATTAGTTCTTCTCTTTCGACCATCAACCAAGCGACCCATAACATTAAAATTTCTAACCAAGTTTTAGAAGGGAAGAATAGTACTTTACAAAAAGAAAACGATGAGTTTCAGGCAATAATCTTTAATTTAGAGACCGAACTAAAAAATTCTCAGGAAGAATTAACCAAAAAAGCAACTGAATTATTAAGAGCCAAAGAAACATTAAAACGAAAAAGCGAAGAAGAAGAATTAAATTGGCAAAATTACGAAGAGGCGAAGGAAGAATTAGAAGCAGCGATGGCGGAAATCGAAGTGGCGAAAGAGGAAATCGCTCGCTGAAAGGAAAAAGATAAATGAAGTGAATTACATATAGAAAACTTAGTGGCTCAACATGAAAGCGAGTATGAAGCAGGAGAAAAATATGTAAAAAAGTTGCTCGCCGAGAAAAAAGACTTAGATAAAACTGTTGCTGAATACAAAAACCAAGAAAAAGAGTTGGAAAGTGATATTATTACTCAACTTCAAACCCAACAAAATTATTTAGGATTAAGAATTATAGAATTAATCAAGGATAATGAGCAACTAGAAGAACGATTATCAGCACTTAATGAAAAACTTTTCCTGTGAGCCGATACTGATAAAATGGGAGAAAGTTCGCGGAGGAGGAGAAAAAGAGGGCGGGCATTAACTAATGCTAGTCTATCCATTTCTAATTACAGTAGTTCCGAAGCAAGCACTCGTCAGAGAGAACTTGACCCTAGATTTAAAGATAGTAATTTAAAAGGGGGTTTTAGTAATGAATTGGGGGAACTAGATAAATATAACCTTCCATACCCAGCAGACTTGACACTTGACACTGGCGAGAGTAGCAAAAGTGTTGGTTATTTCGGTATACCGCAAGTGGAAAGTCCCTACACAAATGAATTCAGTTTCGATTACAGCAATTCGAACAGTCCTAAGACACCCAGGACACCGGGAGAAAAAGATGGCTCAGACGAATTTTTCCTCCCCGAATCACCGAAAGATAGAAAAAGTTCAAGTTCAGTAAAAACCGAGAGTGCTTACAAAAAAGACAAAGGGAAAGGGATTGAACGAAGAAGAATTTCTAATGTTTCTAATGTTTCTAATGTTTCTAATGTTTCTAATGTTTCTAATTTGAAAACAATAAAAAGACTACAAAGCCTCCAACTTGCTGAACTAAATGCAGAACGAACAAAAAATGAATTGATTGAACAATTGCGAACAGAATTAGCAATAGCAAGAACCCAGTTGGTGACCAATGAAGAATCTTCTGCCAGTAAAACAATTGGCAATATTAGAAATATTTTAGTCTTAAATGATAGTGCTGATATAGAGGCAGAAGTTCAGTATTTGGTAGAGCAATTATCATCCACTTTCAAGTTAATCTCCAAATTAGTCCAAATTGAAGATATTTTGGGTGAAGATAATATGAAAGAGGAAAATTTAAAAAAACTTCTTGCTAATAGTCAGAGAATAACCGAATTGGAATCCGAAAGGGAGTGTTCCGAATGTAAAGAATGAAAAAGGCAAATGGAAGCACTAGCAGAAGATACTGTTAAAAAATATAAAGCAGTCGAGTCAGCAGTAGAAGATTTAGCAAAAGTATTTCGGAGTGAGGAAGAAAAAATAAAACTGTTAAAAAAAAAAATAGCCAATTTAACCTCCGAATTAGAGCAAGTTGAAAGTGAAAACCATGAGTTAGTAGAAGACCTAAATTTTTTACTCGATTTGGAAAAAACTGACTTAGAAAAACAAAAAAAACAAGTCAAAAAACTAGAAGCTGAACTCTTGGCTAGTCAAAGCGAACAAAGAAATTCGCAAAAAAATGATTGGCAATTAGTCGAAGAAAAAAAAGAAGAAATTATTAAACTCCAACGAGTAATAGCAAAAAAGGACGAAGAAAGTGCGGAAAAACTATGGCGTTTGAACCAAAATAATCTTTTTTTAGCCGAGGAGAATGAACGCTTAACAAAACAATCTTCGCAACAATTAGACGATAACAAAAAGCAAAGTGAAAGCCTAAGCGAACTAAAAAGAGAGTTGCGGTTAACCAAAGTCCAAGCCAGCAAATTTAAGCAATGAGTTAGCAACGCAGAAAAAGATAATATTGATTTATTGAGCCAAGGAAATCAAGTAATAGACGAGAAAAATGATTTAATTCGGGAAAACGAGTTATTAAATTATGGAGTTTTAAATAAAAATAGTGAGTTAGAGGCTCAAACTGAAAAAATAAACGATTTAGCAGCGGAAATAACTACTCTGAGCGGTCAACTAGATATGGCAAATGAGAATATTGCTACCCTCCAAGTTAATTTAGAAGCCGCCGAAAACGAACGAGATGCTCGCCCCAATATAACTAGCAATGATTACGATAACTTAATTGCGGAATTAAATGAGGCTAATATTGCGATTACTGACTTAAATAATATCAATACTATTCGCAATAGCCAGCAAAATACTAATCTCCACCCTGACCTCCAACAAGCCCAGGCTGAAAATTTATTATTCCAAATCTTTCTCGCCCAAAAAAACCAAGAGTTTACTAACGAACAAACTAAGCACACTAACACCAAATCTCGCTTAACTAATCAGCGGAACATTTTCCAAAATCGTTATCAACGAGTTTCCGGAGATTTAAACAACACTCAGCAGGAAAATAATCAACTGAAATCCGACTTGAATAATGCTAAAAATGTAAACAGCCAACTAAAAAACCAAGGTAAAAATTGAAAAGTTAAACACCGAACAGAAAAACAAAAAGTCGCGGATTACGAAACAGGATTAGAAAAAATATTTACTGGTGAGACTATTGAAACAGGCGGGCAAAAAATATCAGTTATGCCATCTACTTCTAATTCTCAGCAAGCAATAGATAATATTGATATTTGAATGAAAGAATTTAAGCAAGAGTTAAATAATGGTATTAATAAACTGCAAACTGCTAATGATTTAATAAATCAAGCCCAACAAGATTTAGATATTCCTGATTTAGTTGCTCTGAAAAATAAAACTAGTAATCGAACGCTGTTTATTCTTATTCAAGAAAGTGATGAATACCGACAAAATAAGCAAAAATTAACTGCGGCTGGTTATAGTGATTTAGTAGCACTTCTGAACGCTAAACTGCCCCCAACTCCAACTAAAAAGCGTTGTCAGTGTAAGATGAAACTAAAACAGCAAAAGCAAAGAATTTTACAGAAATTTATCACCGATTTAGACTTAAAATTAGCGGGTAAGAAAATTACTACCCAAGAAGTAATTACTATTATTCAAGAGTTATTAGGCAAACCAAAAACCGAAATTCCCGTCCAAGTTGAACCTTTAACCGAAAATAAAAATTGAGAAAACCAAATTAATAATCTCTCTAATAAATTAATCACGGTTAATTCCCAAAAAGAGCAATTAGCTAAGGAATTAACCACTAGCCAGCAAAAAAATAATCAACTACAAACCCAACTAACTAAAAAAGCCCAAGAAAAATGGCTATGAATTTATTTAAGCCTTACCTTGGGAATAATATTAATAATGGTTGCTCTTTCCTCAATCTTGGCTAAGAAAAAGAAAATTAGCAAGGTGCGGAATTAAAGTTAGTTTTATCAACACCCTAGCAAGAATATACCCCCCCCTATTCTATAACAGGGGAATGAATTACGAATAGAATTTTCCTTTAAAAAGATTTGGAAAATAAGTAGTAGTTTTGGAGACTTTTTCAGCAAAAAAAATATTAGAAAATGACAATAATTATTAACCAATTACACCCTGCTGTTACCAATGTATCAATTCATAACGAAGGAGTAGAACAATTTGTTTTTTTTGTAGTAAAACATCCTTTTCAGTATCAGGGACAAAGAATTGTCGGTATCGATTTTCATTCGATAAATCCGGAACCTGACGCTGATTTTATTAGGAGAAATAGAATAGTTAGAATTGAATTTAATGAGACCCAAGCCCGAGTCGTAGAAACCAACGGAAGCAGAAATTTAGGAGGGTGAGAATTAAGAATGGATAACAACAGTTCCTTACAACCCTACCGAACTTCCCAAAACATTTCCTTCCAACTGACCGACACTACACTAACTATCCAGGGAAGCAGATGCGTCTTGCGAATACAACCCCAACGCTTACCCGAAGATAATTTTAATAACGGATTTGAACGAATTATTTTGCAAATCCCCGATGACAAAATATCTCACGTTCAAACTTGAATAAGAGCCATTGGCACCGACACCGAACATACTATTGAAGGTATCGATTGAACTTCAGCTAATTTTGAACAGTCAGATAACTATTTAGTGGTAAGAAATTTTAACCAAATAGTCAAGAGAAACCAAACTAATAATCCACCACCTCCCCCCCCACCAACTATTAATACCCCCCAGTTTATTATTGAAAGTATAGTTCCGACAGGAAATATTAAACTTTTAAAGGTTACCTATCCCTTTACTTTTGACAATGAAAGAGTGGAATATATTATTATTAACTCTAATAGTCCTGATTTACAGGTTGGTAATACCGTTATTGTTGAGGGGGTTAATGTTGGTAGAGATAAAATAAGACATAATCGGTTTGGTATTCTCACTAATTTTACTAATATTAGAGTGGTAGTTCGGGGAGGCGGCAACAATCCTCCACCACCTCCTCCGATTAATAATGCCTTTAATATTATCCAAGCCGCTTTAAATAATAATGATAATCAACTAATCGCCTTAATAAACAAATATGAAGGTCTAGACAAGAATAAGTTTACCGTTGACATTCTTTCCTTTGTTAGTGATAATGAATTAAATAACGACCAAACTATTAATTATACTGAGTTAGAAAGTCTTATTCAGCAAGGGGGATATACTTTAAAAACTTCTCCCCCGCCGCTTCCTAATAACCCCCCCCCTACTCCGAGACCAAATGAACCAAACGGCAATGACAACTTGCCTAACCTTCGTGATGAAGCCATTACGGCTATCACCCAGGCTCTTAATCAAGAACCCAAAATTGCTGATAGTGAATTAAGTAAACCTAACTGGAAAGCCGAAATTAACAATTCCTCCGCGGCTAATTTTATCAATAATTTAAAAGAGGAATTATTAACCGAAATCGCTGCCAAAAGAGAGGGACAAACTAAAAATAATGAATTAGATGAGTTAATCAGCCAAGCCGAAAAAAAAGAAACTTATCAGGAATTAGAACCCTTAATTAACCAAATTAGAACTCTCAGCAATTTACCTCATTATCAAGCCCGCCAAGAGAAAATCAAGCAATTAGAAGAAAAATTAGGTAAATTAGATTTAAATAAGTATAAAGAGGGGGTTATTACAACTATTAATAATGAATTAAAAAGTGGTGATAATGCTCTGAGTGCTAATGAATTAGAACCCGATAATAAAGATTACGAGAACCAGTTAAAACGAGCCACCACAGCCGAACAAGTTAACCAAATTAAAGAAAAAGTGACAAATGATGTGGGAACTAAGAAAGCCAAAAAAGAGTTAGATAATTTATTCGAACAGGCTCAGAAAGCTAACACCCAACAGCAAAAAGCCGCAATAAAAACTAAGCTGCTCCACTTCATTAAAGCGGAAAATCGCTTCAAACAAGAAATTAGTCAAAAATATCACCAACAAATCCAAGCCGTCTTAAAACAATTAGAAACTAGTCAGTCAACTTCCCGACCACCCAAAAATTATGACCGTTTGTTGCCTTGATTAATTGGTGGCGGAATATTACTAGGACTTACCTTCATCGCTGTTATTATTATCAAATATCAAAAAAAAAAAAAAAAAAAACAGTTTAAAGTATAATATATAGCAATAAAAAATAAAATAAATAAAAACTTATGACAACACAACGAGAATTAGAACATAATCTAGCATCAATTAGAAATAATATTCCCAACAATTATGATGGTCGTTTGTTACCTGCCAATAAAGAAACAAGAGAAGAAAACTTTAAAAAATGAAAAACTTGATTAAGCGAAATAAAAAATTTAGGAACAGAACTTTATCACCAAAACCAAGTAGCGATTGATAATTTAATCACCGAATTAGACATACGGTTAAAACTTGATGATAATAATTTAGGAGCTGATAAACATAGAGAGTTAATTGTCCGACTGCTAATGAACCAAGCCCAAGGTCCAGTCCAATATGTTCCGCAAGAATTTTCCATTGACGGAGTTGGTTCCCAACCAATTAAAGAGGTAATTGATTATTTAAAAAGTTTAAGTTTAATATCTCCCAAGATTGTCCAAGGGGGAACTAATTGTTGAGATACTAGGAATTTACAGGATGCTGTGTTATTTAAAAATAAGCTGGCTGCTATTCTCAAACTAAACGATGATGAAGAATTACCGGCTAACACCTGAGCTTTAATTGTCAATAAAGCCGATTTAGAGCAAGCTCAGCAAGAAATAACCAGATTAAAAGCGACTTTGAAGGAACTTAATGCTTGGAAAGAAGATGAAAACATTGTTAATCAACAGGTAGTTGATTTTTATTTAACTATCGCTAGCAACACCCAACAATTAGAAACTGCCCTCCCTGACCTCTTTGACCAAGAAGGCAAAGTAATTTCTGCTAATCTAAACAAATATCAGAAAAATCAAGAATTAATCGAGTTAGCCCAAATGGTCGGTTTTGACCCCCTAACCGATGGGGAATGAAAAACTAAACTTGAAACAGCATTAAGTCGCAACAAATTATCTGACTTGGGCGAATATAACTTAGCTCAACTTTTAATGCGTAGTGAATTACACGGAAAAATTATTCAAGCCCTTGATATTCAAAGAGAAGGAAGAATGATTTTAGATGAGAATGGTGTTGTAACTGGACAGGAAGCGATTGTTTTTAATAAATATGGTTGAGATTGAGCGAGTGATAATGACCCCCAAAAAATAAACGATTATCAGAAAGCCTACGACCAAGTCAAAGATTATGAAAGCCAAATAAAAACTTTACTGGCTGACCCAGTTAACCAAACTCAACCAGTTAATATTCCTAATGATTGAGCTAGTCAATTAGTTAGAAAAGATGCGGTTGATACCTTAAATACTACCGCCAAAAAATATAACGATCTAGTAAATTATCAAGCGACCGCTACCAGAATTGGAGGAGCTACTGACAACTCTGCTATTCTAACTGCTGATAACAAAGAAATCGACCAAGCCAAATTAACTGCCGTAATTAATGATAGTCAAGAATTAGTCAAAATTAATCAACAGGTCATTAATGTTCTTAAAGATGAGATACCAGGTCTTTTGGTTCAGAAAAATAACCAAACTGAGATTGATAAGGACTTATTGGCTAATTTGGCTAAATTAAATGCTGGTGGTTCTAATCCAGCCGACCAAACCAAAATTACTAATTACGAAAAGATATTGAAAGAGCAAATTGGTTATGACCCAGCTGACCCGAACTTTACTACTAACTTAACTGGTAAACTAAATGGTAAAAAGTTGTCGGATATTACCAGTAATTTAGACCAAGTAATAAAAGATGCCAAACAACTTCCGGCTTGGAAAAAAAGTGAAAATGATTTGCTAAATCATTTAGGATATACCAAAACCGCTAATGATGATAAAAAGTTGGGAACTGAAAAAGTGTTCTTTACAGATTTTAAAGCTAGTCATTTAGGTAATACTAACTTTGCTGACCCCCAATTATATGATGCTACGACGGGTCAGGTTTTAAGAAATCTGACCGATTTGGTTCAGGAAAGCAAAGAATTAACCACCCTCCAAACTAATTATAAAATATTGGATGACAAACTAACTAAAATCAATGCTGATTTAGGTATTTTAGATGGCAATGATAACTTAACTAATAAACTTAGAATTAATGGTTCATATAAGGATTTAAAAACAGCTAGCGTAGGTATTGACACTATTATTAATGAGTTGTTTAATGACCCTAATGCCTACAAGTCTAAATTTTTACCAGATGACTGACACGAAAATTTAGTAGATAAGAAAAAATTAGATACTGCCGACCTTGAATTAACTAGACTAAGTGGGGAAATTCACAAGATAGAAACTAACTTAACTGGTTTAATAAATACTTCTATGATTGATGGTAAAAAAGTGGTAAATAATGTTAAATTATCAACCTTAAAGAGTTTAAATGATGGTCAAGGTGCTAATCCACTCCAAAACCAATACGATGCTTTATTAAACGATGCCTTAAATTATACTCCGACTGCTGCTGATGTTAACCCAGCTAACTACTGACAAGATTTAAAAGGAGAGGATTTACTTGATGGTCAAGGTATCAAAGAAATTATTGAGGAAAGAGATGAGGAACTTTTGTTAGCGAATAGATATAAAAATCAAATTTTAAATGCTTTGGGTTATCCTGCTAATTCCACAGTGCCAAATGGTTGAGGCCAACAAATTAGAAAACTAGTTGATTGAGTTTTTCAAGATTTAGGGGTAAATCAAAATGTTAGTGTTTTACCAACTATCCCTGCAGGAGAAAATTTGGCTAGTTTACTAGCTCGCCCAACCCAAACTCAATTAGATAACGCTAACGATTGGATTACTGATTTAGAAAAAGGCTTTAAGGAAATATTAGAAATAGACCCAACTGATGCTTTACCTAACAATTACACTGATTTAGCCAATTTATATAAAAACCAAAGCGGTAGTCAAACAATTAAACAATTAAAAACCCGAGCTGATAACTTTGACCGTATTCACACTAAACTCAACGGCAAAGTCAGTGATAGCGAATTACAAGCCTTATTAGACACTATCCCTACTTGCTCCCACACTGATTACGACACTATTAAATCCGAAAGAGACACCTTAAAAACGGAAAATACTCAACTAAAAGAGCATCAATGCGATTGTGCTAGCCAAGTAGCCCAAAAAGAAACCCAAATCATCACCAAAATCATTACTGACCTGCAACTCTCCACCGAGAGAGAGAGAGAGAATGTTTTAGAAGCGGTAATTACTGAGATTAAAAACAAAATAACTCCACCCACTGATAGTAGCAAAGACAATAAGATTAGCGAACTAGAAACCAAACTAGCTAACTTACAAGCTCCAAAATCACTCAATGATTTACCCATCAGTAATGAAGTCAAAGCCGAAGTAATCAAAATCAGCCAAGACTTAGGCTTAACTGCTCAATCTTGTGCCAAACTAGAAGACGCTACTTCTTACCGAGAACTATCTAATTTACAAAAAGAAGCTTTCCAAGCCAAGTTAAATAGTGAAGTTGACAGCAAAAACACAGCCCGCACTATGAACTACTGCTTCGGAGCGTTAAGTTTAGGTAGTTTATTGTTATTGGCTTGAATGCTAATTAAGCAAACCAAAACTGACTTACCAAAAGTAGGTGAGAAGAAGTAAGTTGGTTGAATAATAAATAAGCATTTAAAATTATATTATGACTAGTGATTGAACTAATATACACCTTGATTTTACTTTTCATAATTGAGACTGAGAAACCAATTACCAAAAACAATGAGAAAAACGGGGATTTTCTTACGAACAAACTAAAGAGTGGATTGAAATTGGTTTAATGCCTAATGAAGCTGATTTGGCGACTTGACTAAAAAGAGAAAATTATACTCCGAAACATAATCTAGATGCTAATGAGGTTGAAAAACTGAGAAAAGACTTTTTCCGAATTAGAAAAAGATGAACTGATATTCACGAGGAATTTGATGTAGTTCCCTTTGATGACCACCCTCTTTCACCTTATCGAGAAGGTTGAGAAGACTCAGGGTTTACTAGGGAAGAAGCCTGGGAATGGATAGACAATGGCTTCCAACCTAGCGATTATTGAAAAGTTAGAGAGTGAAAAAAACATGGATTTACTGGCAAACAAACTGGGGAATTAATCAAAAAGGGTTTAAGTTTAGATTGCGACCTAGAATTCTCTGTTTATTTAAGAGACAAAAAAATTGCTGATGCTGTTTTTGAAAAAGAGTATAAATCTTCAATTTATCTCAACTGAAAATATCCTTTAGACCAAAGAAAAATTTTTAAGTCGGTTGAAATTAATTATAAAAACTTAACTGGTTCGCTTGTCATTAATGACTGACCTAAATTAGAAAAAATAGAAGTAATTCTTAATTATGAACTAACCTCTGCTCGAATACTTAATTGCCCTCAACTTACTATGGTTAGACTTTGAAATAACAAGCTTAGCGACTTGGTTATTGAAAATTGTCCTAAAATAGATAACTTAGATATTAGCAACAATGAAATTAAACACGACTTACACTTTTTAAACAAAATGGGTAAATTAAAAAAATTAAATATCGATAAAACTATCACCACCGTTAGATTAGAATATCTCCCAACTAGTTTAGAAGAAATTATTTTTCAGGTAGATAATAAACCTTCCGCTCAATTGAAGATTTTAGCAGAAACTTTAAAACTTTATAAAAAAGGTAAAAACTCTTATGATTATCAGCAATGAAGAAAAAATAATTGTGATTCGGTCAATAAAATTCATGAAAATAATAGCATTCTAAATATAATTTCTATAATTAATTCAGTTCTCGCAAGAGAGGCTCAAGTTTCTGATGAGTTAACTAAACTAGAAAAAGTTCTCCAAGTAACTGCTTTTTATTTAGAGGAAGAGACAAAAAACATTAGAAAAGAATTATACAAAGAAAGAGGTTGTCAATCTCAAATAGAACAACTTTCTAAATAGTAAAGAACAAGATATTAGTGTTATTCATAAGAGTTAAAAGAGTATAAGAATTAAATAAAAAAAATACCATTCACCTAGGGGAAATAATCCCCCGTGATATCAGCCCCCAAGAATTAGCAGCAGCGTTAAAGGTTCCCAAAGAACAAATAAAGTGAGTGTGTGAGGAAAGAGCCGACATAACACCTGATTTAGCCGCTCGCTTAGCATTATAGCTTAATTTGCAACGAAGTTATGAGGATAAACACATTACATTCGAGAGAAACAGAACTATAAGAATAAAATTATAAATATATGACCGAAAAAAAAGAAATTTGTTCCACCTGTTGAAAGAAAGGAAAAAAACCTGTTGAGATAGTTGAATCAAGAGATAAACATTGAAAAGATAATATTTGTTGTGCCAACTGTCATGCTGAGGCTATGGGTTGTAAAGAGTGTAAAGAAAGTTGAGAACGATGAGAAAATAGGAGATAAAAATCAGGGAAGTTCAGCACTTCCCTTAAAAAATATAATATATAGAGTTGTCTATTGAAAGGGACTGGTAGGCGAATGAGGTTTGTATAAATCCCCAGTTGTCTACCTACTAGTAGCCTGTCAGTCGCTTTGAATATTACAACTAAAATGGCAACTGGGAAATGCTCGAAACAGGTTAAACCTGCTAAACTTTTACTAAAAAATTTTCAGAGAGAAAGGATTATTTTTGGTTTTTAAAGAATTAATTTCCCTAAAATACTAATGAACGGGGGAATTTTAATAAAAGCACTGATTCAATTTTCACACCTTTACCCATAAATTTCTCAATATAAATCTATTAGTTCCTCAAAGTCCAGCAAGAATAAAATCTTTTGGTGATCTAGGTTCAGTAATTAATCTTCGCGAAAAAATATTGCAACGGGAGAATTCATAAAAAAACATTTGAATTTAAAGCACAAATTGAAATTAAATAATAGCACCACTTCCATTTATTATTATAAAAATAACTTATATAACATAGTTGTTGTTTTCTTATTGTTAGAAAAATATGTTTATATAAAAAAAATATTATGACAAGCGAAATAAAAAATGCCCAAAATTGGCTAAAAGAAAAATACAAAGATAAAAATACTGAAAAAATTATTGATATTGGTAAAGGGATAGAATTTGAGGAAGGAGAATTGAAAATAGAAGAATATACAAATCTAACCACTATTAAACTTGGTGGTGGAAAGAAAATAACCAAATTAACTATTACTAATTGCCCAAACGTTGAAGAAATTGATGTCTATGATAACGAAATTGCTCAAATAATAGCACTTAAAGATGATGAAAACTTAGAAGATGATCTATCTAAGTTAAGTGGTTTACCTAATTTAAAAAAGCTAAGAATACAAAATAATCAAATAAAAAAGCTTGATGTTAGTGGCAATAAAAAGTTAGGTTTTATTAACTGTTTTGGTAATGAAGATTTAAAGATTATAGGTTTGAAAAATCTTTCTAATCTTTATCATTATAATGGCGGGTGAAAGAGCGGAACTCCTCTTCCTCTAGAAGAAACTACTAGCGAAGAGTTAGTTGAGTTGGCTAAAAATCTAAAAATTAAAGATGAATTATGGGAAGGTAAAGATTCAAAAGAAATAAAAGAAATCATTATACAAAAGGATAAAATATTGAAAGAAAGTATCAAAAAGGAATTAGGAGAAGATGCCTTGCAAGAATTCATAGCAGAAATAGAAATTCCTACTAGTTCAAAATAGATACTTTTAATCTTTGCGGGGCTTTTTATAATGCCTCGCGAGGGTAGTTTTTAATTTTGATACTGGTTTAGAAAATTTTTCAATTTTAGACTTCGACTCCGATGAATATTTTCTCAATTGTTTTCTAAAATCAAAGCAAAGCAATTGGTTTGGTTATTTTCCAACTGAATATTTTCTAACAAATAATCAAAAACTTTTAGCGGGTGAATTAAGAAGTGAAGTGGGAAAGAGGTAATATTAGCGGTTTTGTAGAAAAAGCAGTAACCAAGGAACTTAGAAACTATGAGAATAAGTTAGAAAGAGAGCAAAAAGAATTCCAACAAAAACTAATTGCTGATTTTTACAAAAAGAAGAGAATATTGTCAAAGAAATAGTAAAAGAACAAAGGGATATCACCCCTGAATTATCTTATCGGCTTGGCTTATATTGAGGTGTCCGAGAGGATTATTGATTAGACAAGCATTACGAATTAGAGACTTGGAAAGAACAACAAGAATTAAAAAAAATAGTCAAGCAAGTTCAGCCGATAAGTGCAGGAAAGAGAGCCGAAATTTAATTCTACTCATTAAAATTACTAATATGTCATTCAACAACTTAATTACTTAGATAGAATTTCTTGTTGGGCTTGAGCCGAATTTTCTTCTTGGAGATATTCTTGAATTTTTGCATTTTCTAACTCTTCCCTATATTCAGCAATTTCCTTTAAAATCTCTTCAACAACTTCTAGATCTGCTTTTGAATTATCAAGTTCAATTTGGGCAGCAGAGTAAATTATTTCTGAACTCTTCTTTATTTCTTCATAAAAATCTTTTTTAGAAATTCACTCGATAATGCCACTTCTTATCCAATTTTTCTTATTTTCCTCTGTTTCTTCTTTTATTTTTTCTAATCTTTCTTTAGTTTTCCTTAATTCTGTTTCTTTTTCACTAATTTTATCCTTAAATGCCTTAGTAATGTCCGATTTGCTATTAATAGTTTCTTTGACTAAATTTACTAAGTTCTTTTTCTCTTCACTATCAAATTCTTTTTTTTCCTGTGCTGAGTTTAATAAATAGGTAATTTTTTGTTTTAAGTCACTAAATTCTGCAACCTTTTCTAAATAAATTTTTAACTTTCTAAATTCTTGAATTAATTGTTTTTCTATTCTTAAAAGATGCTTGCTGTGCAAATAATATTCTCTACGTTTAGTCAACTCTTTATCTTTTTTTTCTAAGCCAAACAAGTCAAACTTTAAAACAGTTCCTTTATTTGTTGCATTACTAGACCATTTTCCATTAAAGAAACTTAATCGGGAAAGATTTTCCACCCCAGTGATCTCTTTCAAATCTGGATTATCATGACAAACCAAATAAGTTAGGTTGATATTTTGACTAACATCCATTTTTTTTATTTGATTTTTAGCAAAATCTAATTTTCTTAACTTGAATAATTCATCAAGACCTACCATCTCTTCTATTTGATTATCATAAGTAAAAATTTCTTCAATATTTGGACAATCTTTAATTTCTATTCTAGTTATTCCTTTAGCATCTCGCAAGTTTACTTTCTTTAAATTATGGAAACTAGCAATAATCAATTTATCTTCCAATTTTAAACCTCTCGAATTTATTTCTTCAATCTTTTCTTTCTCTTCCGAAAAATATTCTTTGTCTAACCATTCTTGGACGTTTACCATATTTTTTTTAGTTTTCTACCAAATTGTCAGACATACAAATTATAAAAACTTTATTGTTTGGGGGGGAATTTCTATTTGAGCTATAAACTCCTGCAAGGCATCTTCTCCTAATTCCTTTTTGATACTTTCTTCTAATACTTTGTTTTTATCTAAATATTTATTTTCTAGTCATTCTTGGGCGTTTTTTGATTCTTTTTTCATAACGTTTTTATATGATTAATTTTTTAGGTTTTTATTTCAATAAAATTTAATAGCGTTATCGTTTTTTTCTTCATCTGCTCTTTATTTCTTGTAATGCGTATTTATTTCTTGTAATGCTTCTTGTAGAGCATCTTTACCGGAATGTTTTTTGATGAAATCTTTCAAAATATCAACTTGTTGGTCTGCTTCTAGATGAGTTTTGCTTAACTCAATAATATTCCTCAACATCAAATTGTTATTTAGTTTTTTTAATTCCTCCAATTCTTTTTGAGTCCGATCTTCTTTTCAGGCCTTAATGTCACCACCATTTAAGTTTAATTGTTTGCTAATTTTCTTACAACCAGAATAAGAAATTTTTTTTAAACTTTCTGGTAAATATTCTAGACCATTATCAACATCCGCATGCGAAATGTTTAATACTTTTAAATTTTTTAGGTTCTCTAAGGGTTTTAACGATCCAGAAAAACTATTACCTTTATTTTTCAAGTCGGTTTTTTCTAGCAAAAGCAAAGGCTTCCCTAACCAACTTTTACCACGATTTTCAATATATAAATTTCGCAAATTGACAAAAGACTCTAAAAAAGTTAAATCTTGTTTGAGTTTGTTATTAGAAATATCTAAAAAAACCAATTTTTCTTTTCTTTCCTTTGGCAAGTCAGTAAGAAATTCAGTGTCAAAAAGTTGATTATGAGAGCAATTAAGTTTAGTCAATTTAGGCAAATCACTAATGTCAATATCCACTAAATTGTTAAAAGAACAATCCAAAGTTTCTAAATTAGTAAAACCTAAGCCTTCAAAAGATAAACTGCCCTTTAAATTTCGGTGGCTAATATCTAGTTTAATAATTTCACCTCTGCTTTTTTTACCATAGTTCTTTTTGTCTTTTGTATTCTTGCATTTATCACCAGAAGGATAATTTTTATCTAGTCATTCCTGAGCAGTATTGTTTTCTTTTGTCATAGTTTTATTTATTATTATATAATTATGTATTTATAAGAAAAAGTTTAAAGAATATCTAATATTATTTTGAACTACTTAGGGATTGTTGTTGTTTATCGTTTTCATTCCCGCCAGTGTTAGTTAACTTTTTGACTTTTTTATCCAACTTTCCAATCTTGGCATCTATCATGTATTCACGACTTTTTCAAACCCGTCTTTCACTTTTTGTTCCAACTTCATAATCCTTCTTGATCTCTTCTAATTCGTTTCTCTTTTCTTCTATTTCTTCTGTTTCTTTTTCTCCCATATCTCAAACTCGATCAATCTCGGCTTCTACTAGCCTATCTTTACTATCTCTACGATCCTTGTGCCGTTCACGATAGTATTGAATTAAAAAAATAATAATTCCTACCACAGTGCCAATTATACCAGCTCATATACCTCAAAATTCACCTTTGGTAAACCCTCACTCATATTTATCATCATCATCTCTTTTGTCTAAATGTAACGTTTCAAATGTTTCAGTTGTCGAACTTTCCATATACTAATTTTTGTTTTTTAATTTTGTATTTTTAAAAATCACCAATTTGTTTTTCAGAAATTTATATCTAACTGGGGTGATTGATTTTTATCAGTCTTCTCCACCATTTTTTACTTTCCTAGGTCGTTAAACTCATTCTTCATAAACTTTAGCTAATTTTTTTCTTCCTCTTGTTCAGATTGAAGATAAATCCAAGAAAAATTTTAATCCTTTCGCTATTTTCAGTTTTGACTATATATTATATTTTACTGTTTACCGTTATCTATTTTAGCAGTTAAATTATATAATTGCTTACTAATTATACCATAGTTTTTACTTAGATTATTTTTTCAATAACCTTTTTTTCTTCTCCCGCCAAGCCTTCCGTCTTTGTCCATTAGTCCGATACTTCCTAACTCTCCCTGTCTCCCAATTCAAAACCCCACTAACTAACCCAGCATCTATCCTAGCCTGTGCTTTCCTCTTCCGATAAGCCTTCTGTCTTTCCGCATTAGAAGAATATTTAAAAACTAAACCGCCTTTCTGACCCCACTTTTGAAAATCCTTTTTAGTATAACCTCACTTACTAAAATAAAATCCTTTTTTGGTTTTTGTCATATAAATTATTTTTGTTATGCTACCCGTTATGTAAGGGCTAATAATATTCCTAAAAAATGGCTATAAATCATAAGAGTTTATTACATAAACTCTGTTAAAAATTTAATCCCGACCTAATCAGCCCTTAGGTTGGGAATAAAGTGAAAATGAGGGTAAAAACTTGATTAATTATCCAAAAATGTTGGGAGTAATTGTCCGAAAGGTGAGGATTAAAAATAAAAAAGGTTGGAAATATCTAAAATGTGGAAAGAAATAAAAGAAAATTAGGTAAAAAAGTTATTACAGCATTCGCATTAACAACCAGTATCGCATTATTTTTAAATGAGACAAAAAAGGTGTTAA